AGCGCGTAGATTGGATCGAACTCTGCCTGTCACCAGCGACTAAATCGGCTTACGAGCGCTCTGACGTGTGACGTATGACGTATGACGTAAGACGTATACATCGAATTGCCGCCACCTCTCACCCATATATATTCTTGACCGTTTAAGGAGGGCCAGGTTCCAACAGTCTGGAAGAGGGCAACCATCACTGCACTTCCTAAAAAAATAACATCGAAGTCGCCAGGAGATCTGCGGCCTGTAAGTTTTACGCCTACGTTTGGCACCCTTTTGGAACAGCTCGTTTTCCCTCTCATTCTGGCAGACATAGGGCTGCAAATAGATGAACGCCAATACGGTAATGTAAAGGACGCCTCAACGTCCCACTACTTGGTAAGATTGCTGCACGAGTTACTCTCTGAGTTGGATAGGCCAGACAAGCTCTTTTCATTGGTTCTCTATGATTTCAAGAAGGGATTTGATCTCATTGACCATACAATGGTAATCCAACATATGCTCAGCATGGGACTTCGCTCTGGCTATGCAAAGTGGTTGGCCTCATTTCTCCAGGACCGAAAGCAGAGAGTAAAGATGTTAGATGGATCGGTTAGTAATTGGAAATCGATAACTTGCGGCACTCCGCAGGGTACCCTGGTTGGACCGGTTGCATTCTTAGCTATGATCAACGGTGCCGCTTCGGAAACACAACATCGTTTGAAATATGTAGAAGATCTATCAATATACTAAGCATGGGCAATTGACCGAATAGACGAGCAGTCAACTGCAAGACAAAACTGACAAAATATGTGGATGGGCAGCTGCAAGTAAGGTGGTAATTAATACTGAGAAGTGTCAGGAAATGTACGTTTTTATTTCTAAAAAACCCCTGATGCTCCTGGACGTCGCAATACATGGGATCAGCTTACCAAATGTTAGCAGTACTAAGCATTTAGGAGTAACATTATCCAGCGATATGAGTTGGCAGGCGCATATTGATGAAATTTTGAAGAGGGTTGCGAAGGCTTTATACATGCTTCACGTTATGAAGATACTCCGTCCGCCACAAGATCAAATGGTAAAAATTTACATCACATATGTTCGACCACTGCTTGGATACTCTGCGACTGTTTTTCATCCCTGGCTCACCGGCCACCAAGCTCAACAAATTGAGCGAGTACAGAAGCGGGCTCTCAAAATCATTGCCGGGTATGCCAAGTGTTATCAACGGCTTCTACTGATTTTGACAACGGAAACACTTAGAGACAGGAGGGAGACGATGTGCTTACGGTTTGGCCAGCAAATCCTGAGATCTCCAGAGCATAGAGGCATGCTCCTACCTACAAGAAAGGCGATCTCGGGAAGGAACACCCGATATGGTGACACGTTCCAGACATTTTGCTGCGGTGCAAGGATGCGAAAATCAAGCGCGTCATGTATAACAACTCTCATAAACATGCATATCATTGCATCAAGTTGAGGGTAAGCCCTCCACCACACTCGCCACTGCATTTGTAAAGACGTTCAATGAATGTTAAAAGGTTACTCTGTGCTTACATTCAATGCCTACCTACGTGCTATATGAGTTGATACTCGAAGCCGTGTTTTTATAATATTCCGTCTCTCCCTCTCTTTCCCTGACGAACTGAGGTATTGGGACGAAGTGGTGAATGGAAGGAAAGCAAATACCCGTTGTTAGTTTAGTGTGCAAGCTTTAGCATTTAAGGAAACGCATTGGTACTTACGAAATAACACGACATATTATGAATGAATGAGAATAAAACACAACGAAATGTTATTGCGCATTTTTATGCTGACATCTTTGTCTGACTTCCATTAAGGACAGACGATTAGGCCACTACACTGATATATTGAATATATTAAACCCAGTTTGGCGAGGAGTGGTGCCCCGAACAGAGCGATGTGCCCTGTACTCACATCAACACATTCTGATCCGTGTAGTTATACATGTACATATATAAAATATATATATATATATATATATATATATATATAATATTGTATCCCGTTGTGCTATACTACGATACATATCATAGTATCCGAAGTTGTACCGCTATTTACATCTATAAAGACGGGTTTGCTACCAAATGTGGCAATATTTGTACGTTGTGTAACCCAGCATTGATGGCCAAGTTACCTGTCATGTCATTTCATGCAGTGCCCAACCGACACGAGGCAGAAACGATTAATCTCTATATCGTTGGATCAGCTAAGCGTCAGCGTCAGCTGGCGTCAAGCTGTCAACAAGCTGCTCACCCCTGAGCAAGGCTTGGCTCTCATGAACGACATCGTCTACGGCGCCAGCAACCCTTTGCAGTATTTCTGGGTTGTATCGGGAGTTCCTTGACTGGCATCGCAACAGAACTATAGCACGTGATCATAAACCAACCCCCGATACATCCTGAAAGCGCGCTGCACTCTAGCATTCGCTTTCAGTAATACGTCCAGCGCAGTTATCCTTTATTTTTATAGGTCTTGTCAAGGGCTACGGATCTACTTAAGCACTTCGGTGTGATCGCTGGTGATGCATGTATGGGAAGAAAAGCTGTTTGGCTGTGTCCACGCTTTAACTCGGCGCTCTCGCGTCTCTTCCTACATTTGTAATGTGACGCCAAAAGATAATTAGGGATCGTTTACGATAGTTCAATCGCCTCATTTTCTAAAGATGTGGTTTGGAACTGTGATTGGGCGGCGTCTTAACCGTTTTGCCGAAACAGTGTAACCCTCGGCTGCACGGACAGCTTTATCCCAGAATGACATCGTAGGCCAGTGGTCTGATGGTGCGAGTTGGATCATGCGGCTCAACACAAAATTTTCTATCAACAAATCGCCAAGAGCTGGTAAAATCCGGGATTAGACCAGGTTTATCAAGGACGAGATTTGATGATCCCTTAAAACTCTTGAAGAAATAGCGGAGGTGGTGCCCTGACACTGTATTACCCCGACAAGGAGACAGACACATCACACAGCTTTAAACGAAACATTGGTTCTTTCGCAGGGTTAACAGCTATAAAATTGTTATAAAACTACCCTTAAAAAATGCGGCCAAAAAAATAATTCATTGATTCGCATGCATTTGCTTCTATCTTGCAAGTATTGTGTGGTACACTGTCTGGACCATCATTCACGCTGTTATCCGTATCCGTTTATTATTATCATTCACTCCGTCACCCACCAACTACAATCCCTTCCTCGCTAGACATCCTCTGACATATCACGCCTGAGAATTTGCATATCATGAAATATCTTTAGATGATGGTTAGTAGCTGAGCGCCACACGTTCCACTTTTCTCGGCGGCTGGATCCCGTCGACACTATTCTGCCCGTCTTGGCACCAGATGCCGGCTGGATTCATGACCCAACCGGCATGAAGAGATTTCTCCGAACGATGTCGACTGGATCCATGTGCGGCGGCTGTTGTGAGACCCCTTGGAGCGTTTATGGATTCAGTATTATCGGTTGAAACCTGACCGGATTGAACGTTGTCAGACCGGTTGGGCATTTCAGCCATTGGTTTGCCATTGAAGACATTATTAATACAGGGAATGAACGGGGAAGTGACATAGCGGCGGCGTGAGAAACCGCTTATGTGTGCATCTTTATTTGGTCATATATTTGACGTTTTAACTTGCCTGTTCAATAAATAATGATTAGATTGTTGATGGTGGACGAACTGTTGTCGAGGGACCTTCTCGGGGCGGGGTAGAACATTGGGCGGTGCAGTCCGTGCAGATATAACCAAGGCACCTCCTACGCGCGTGATTTTTTATGTGGTACTGCTTTGCACCGGAAGGAGTTCCCAGAAAGGGAGTGTCGATACATGTCATTTGTAAAACGAGAAAAGTGCGTGCTGCAAGTCACACGCAACCACGTTCATGCGGGGTAAAACAACGGGGCAAAAAGGGAGCGGAACAGGATGACGCAAACGACTGCTGCTCTGCAGTCATTTACATCATCTCTGTCATCTTGCAGCCAATCTTCTCGTGACTTCGTTAGCCGGAGCATGATTCACCAGTGACCTTTGAAACTCTGCAAGGTCGACTCTGACACCAATCCGTCTCAGACGGCGTTACGGGTCATTCGAAGAGACCGGCGTTTCCATGATTCCAGCTTGCGCGGACCCTCAGCGCTATAACGTTAGCAGCAGGAGATCGGTGGGTGCCATGTTACGCTGTCCCTGGGAGAGTGCGTCTCATATGGTGAGAAAACAAAATGTGCACATTTTCACGACCTAACCAGGAGCACCACGCCCCGCTTCCCACGCGCTGGACGACCCGCGTTCCGTATTTATTTCCTCATTCCGATTCCCGTTTTGCCGTACGGGCAGGGTGGAACGAAACTGGACGAGGAGAAAGCCAGTTAGAAAAAAGATGACTCCTTAGATATATGACTGACAGCATGGAAATCATCCACTGGTTCGATGCAAACAAGTAATTTATTATGTGTAAATGATTGGTTACTTAAGAACAGGAATGCGATTATATGCTACTCTTTAATCAATAAATGATCAAATAATAAAGCAGCAAAATCAAAATAATAAGCGGCAAAATAACACAATGGAGTGTTCCCGATGTGCATGAATCGCCCACACTCCCACATGTACTGCAGGAGCAAGCCAAATACATGCAGCCTTAATTTGTGGTGTAACAGGCATGCTATGTCCTCTTTTTATTATCGGGGAAACACGGGATACTTTCCGTACAAATTGGCAGCCCCTTATGACCGCAGATAAGCGTCATTTATTCTGATGATCTACCAAAATATCGAGCATCGGACTGTCTACAGCGTCTTGCTTACTTTTCCGTTACTTGGTTTCGTTTTCTGGTCGTTTACTTCTCCGTTGCCCGTTTGTGGTTTTCATTTAGTTTTTAATAATTATCCTTTGCCGTAGCGGCTGGGAGTTTTAAACCTAGCGAATCTATGTAAACATCACGTCAGTACCGCGATTTGAGACGCAAATTGTGGCGGCACTTCGTGCGATCATGAACTCCGCTCTGTGATTCCAGATTGATCTGCGGCACATCAAGCAGTCAAGGGAATCCAACCACGTGGAGCTGGGCATCGACCTTAAGGAGTACTATCCGAGCGTCGAGTGGGACATTCTCAAAGTGCCAGCCACCCGGAACGAGAAGTTCTACCCCTGCTGCACGGACCCATTCCCAGGTGTGTACATCGACCCGGTCTCCGGTTCTTGAAGGCTTTACAGCAGGCGCGCCGCCACTCGCACCTGTCAACGTCCTGGGCACCACCGTCCAGTCTCGTCTTTGTTCGGCTGCAGAGCGTGACTCAAGGCGTGGTCGTGGGGCCTTGCTCCCAAACATTTCGCTGCGTCGATTGCGGCAATCAGCGACAACGTTAATGTTCTGCACCGTTTGCTGTTCACGTATGCTTCTTGGAAACCCACCCCTACAATCGGTACGTTGGGCGGCTCTTGGCTCGCGCTGGAAAGGTCTCGACCCCGTGCTTTTGCTATTGAATGTGTGAAGTCCAGCATTTAATGGAATGCCATGCATTTGAATATACTGAAGCAAACATCAGATGGGACTAAATAACCTCACCCGCTATAACGCTTGATATACTTGTAAGTGGAAAGGACTGTCCAACACCATAGCATATCTCTGCTTAGTAAATATGCTCCTTAACACGTTACTCTTCAGATGCGTCATGGAACATTTGTATGACATTGGGGTGCTGCCAAAACTACCAGTGCCAAATTGTCATCACTTTTAAAATTTCAAACTCGCCGAGAATTGACAGCACGGTGCCGAAAGTGTTAGCTGAGCCAGATGTCATGTGCTCGTGTTTTGACCACCGTAGTGGTGCTCTTGCATATTTCGTCGTGAACTTGAGAAATCTGCTTGCATTCGCATGCTAAATTAAGGCCTTTTTCTAAGTCCTTCAACTGCCAGTCTTATTTCTGTGATAACTAGTAACCGTGCCAAACTTCTTATATTATGTAGGACAAAACGTCACTGGTGACTGGAATTGCACACATTGCTCAATATTGATGGAAGACCATTGGGCGTCGCTAATGTTTCAACATCACATTTTTCAGTATTTTATGATACTACGCTTTCATCATGTGAAATCAAATGGTAGTCAATTGTCTGATCAATTGTCCACGGTGGTGCGCCCATCTCAAGTTGAAGGTGGCCTTGAGATTTTATAGGTTCGCTAGCTTGAGCATGTGGACGTGGCTGTTCAGGTTACCCCACAGCATGGAGCCGTCGGGGAACAGATCGGGCGAGTGCGAAGCCATGGTTCACCAGGCTTTAGCTGATGTGCATTCCAAAGAAATAATGATCGAACCAATCCAGTGAAGCCCGTACCCTGTGCGGTGTCACCCGTCTTGCTGCAGCCGCCCCTCGTCCCGAGCGATCCCGTGAAGGCGTCCCAGGGTCGCCCGATATGGTATCAGAACGGTAGCGAGGTACCGCTCTGAGCAAAAGTGGTGCTGTCAGGTACTCATTCTCATCCTCAAAGAGGCACATTCTGACGAGTCATTATTCCGCGAATGAAAGATCACTGATTACTTATATTGTTTTCCTTACGTTTGCCCATTGAGTGGTCATTCGAATGCCACCACATGCGAATCACTATTGCGTTTATAAAATGGCCTGAAATCACTTAGGTTTTTTTATTCGAATAACCTCCCATTTAAAGCGTTTCACACCAGCAAAGCAGCTTTGGCGAGGAAAAATTACCTTTCGAATTTTAACATCTGTGTGGAGAATCAAAGGAGCAAAAATCAGAAAAGAAATAGGGTTTTGTGGTAAATTTAGCTCAACCTTATCGGCTCAGCCCTCGACCGATTTCAGAAAGCTACACACCTGATGTCCATACTTGTATCTCTTGCTTGTGTGAGTCTCCAATTTGATCGTGTTCCGAGCAGCCGCCAGCAGATTTCGTGTCTGTTACCCGAGGCATGTGTGGCCACTGGATGTTAAGTCCCGATTTTGGCCCGAGCCACGTTGCAATTTCCCGCATTGTGCAAACGTAAGACGCCATTTGTACCGTTATATATCATTCAGGGCGCTGGGTGTGTGGTCCTGTGCCATGCAAGTACTTGGTGTGCGGGTAAACACCATTAGTGATATTCATGTCCAGGTCGATGTCCGATTTCATCCACGTGCATCATCTCTAGCTTCGATCTGACATGGGCTAAGACACATCTCTGAACCGTGGTGCAGGGACATAGATTCGGATTTCTGACAGTTTTGGTATCATGAGCTGACAACGCGGACAGTTTTCGCAAAAATATGGACCCAATCATCTTAGAGCTTTCTGAAGCATTACAAATTAGTCTGTGATGGAATAAGCGATATGGGGTGTGTTCAGTGCATTTGGATAGACCTTGTACAACCTGCGGGATTTTGCCACCGACGACGGTCCGGGAAATCATATTTTTTTCCCTGATCTCTAAGGATATAATCACCGGGCGAAATAAGTTAAAACGAAGTCTTTAGCCAGCTGCTCTTACCCAGGAACTACTGAGTTGGCTTTCACGTTATTTATGATGTCATAGATCACGTGAAAGGTCTGACATCAGCGAAAGGTTCGACCTCAAGGCCGTCTTTCTCCTATAACATTCATTGCATAGCTTTATAACTGGCACCAAAGAAACGAGCGTGTGCTTGCACTTAACAAATGCCAAGGCCGCGTCAGGTCAAGGTCATGCTAGCTCACCATTTTGGATCTTTAATTGAGGTCTTCCGGTGCACTTGGTGTATGGCAGGCATCGGTTTTGAGGTGTGCCAATTCTGCTGACTTACTTATCAAAAAAGGACGTCACAAATCACCTTAGTTTATTATTTACAAGCTGTTCTCACACCACCTCTGATGATGATGTGGTGTAAGCCGTAAGAGTTTCACTGACCATGGCTTGCAAGCAGTCCAATCTATCAGTGAACCAAATCAGAGCAATGGAAGAATGAAAACTGAAATTGTTGCCTGTGACGGCAAAAATTGTCGTGTTGGCCTTCATCGTTGACTGCATATTCCAACGATATGAACTGACATCGAAAGATTGTTCTCTCTATCATTTTTGAAGTTGGTCGTTTGTCAGGTACTGAAAGTTTGGTGGATCTGCCTTGTACAATTCCAAAGTTATTTCCATAGTTCAGAAACGGATTTCTTTTAACCTCCATGCGGTCGCCGATAAAAAGTTTCCCATTTACATGGAGTGTCTGAAGTAAGGTCGCTGGTTTGTAGAGCCGAGAGACATTGGGCCTTTGCTGACAAGCTCCTGATCCTTGGTCCTGATCCTCGATCCAAGCTCCTAATCCATCCCAAAAAGCTCTGGTGCCTTGGCTGAGAAGCAGTTAGTCGTATGCTTATTTTTGGAGTATATTTCAAGTATTGAGTCATACGCCATGATGAAATTCAGTAGCGAGAAACAATCCAGTTGGCTGATAAGTGTCATGGAGGATGGTCGCAGCGGCCTCGCGCTTCAACGTGATTGGTTGAAACGTGACGGCATGTGCAGGACGACAAATACAATTATTTGCTTTTTAACACGCGATCGGGTGGGGGTCGAATCGACTCCCCCCCCCCGAAGTTTTTCCAGAATGGTTTCGAATAACGCGGCGTAGCCGCACCAAATTTTGTGTAGATGTAGACAATTGAATAGTGGATCGTTTGGCATCAAAATTAGATGTACCTTCTAAGGTCACTGACCTGTGGCAGGTCAAAGTCGGGCCATGGTTTCAGCGAAGTCAATTTTTAGGGAATCGTTCAATCTCATGCAACAACGGAGTGCTAGACGAAGCCATACATCTCTGAGATGCTTCCTTAGACAACACAAAAATTGAATGAGCAAATTATGTTGAGATAAGGTCAGGCATAAAAGTCACACCAAGGTCAAAACCAACTCGTTTTGTTTCCCTAGGGCTTGCTGTATAGGATAGTTTCTGGTGCTCATTTCGAATTTATTGATAGCAGGAACCGCATCATACATCTCCCATGGACTTTTTGGATGTCAGAATAGGTCACTAACCTTAAATGACCCGGGTCAACATTTTGTTTTAGGAACATACTGCCTAGCGTAATCTTTGTCACTTTGTCAAATGTAACACACAAAGCAGTCTTATATGATTTTGGTCACCTTGACCTTCAAAAGATCAAACAAGGTCACTGACCTCAAATGAGCATGTGACCTTTTGCTCCGAAACGGTTATCTAGGTTTTTGGGGCACTTTGGAGACCAACCTGGAACTTGACATGGTTGACATTTTTTTTATCCGAAGGTCATAACCTAGGAACCTGAAACTTTGACCTACGTGAGTTCATGTACAGGTCAACCCACTCTGTAAATTTATTGTCTCTAGCTTTCTTAGTTCCCAAGATCTCAGGGGTGTCAAATTAACGCCCGCACCCGAGCGAAGGGTGTCTAGCCGGCCACCCGGGCGCGTATTAAGGCATTCATAATAAAAGAGCTTTACCTCACGAAGTGCCAGTTTTCAGTCAGTGGCCGACGACTAAGCCATCTCATACGGTACGCAGTAGACGTGCAGACACGCGCAAGCCATGAAGACAGCATGTTCATTTAAGCGTGAATATCGGTCCCGCTTCTTTCTGCACGGTAATACGCCGAAATTAGCTTGGCTCATTGCGCAACCAAGTCAAGATAGATATTTGCATAAGCTCTTTTTCTCAAGTGCATGAGACAGCTGGGAGCACCTGGCACTGCAAAAGTGCTCAAACAAGGATTAGAATGATTTAGGTTGCGGAAATGAAACGAAGTAAATTATGTTCGGGTGTTGGTGTGTGTTGTGTGTTTGTGTGTGCGTGTGCTTGGTAAGCATCCGTGCAAATATGTTTATGTATACGTATATGCGTCCGTGGGCATTTGCGTGTGGGCTTGCATTTCTTTGTATGTGCGTGTGTGTGTGTGTGTGTGTGTGTGTGTGTGTGTGTGTGTGTGTGTGTGTGTGTGTGTGTGTGTGTGTGTGTGTGTGTGTGTGTGTGTGTGTTGTGTGTGTGTGTGTGTGTGTGTGTGTGTGTGTGTGTGTGTGTGTGTGTGTGTGTGTGTGTGTGTGTGTGTGTGTGTGTGTGTGTGTGTGTGTGTGTGTGTGTGTGTGTGTGTGTGTGTGTGTGTGTGTGTGTGTGTGTGTGTGTGTGTGTGTGTGTGTGCGTGTGCTTGGTAAGTCACGCATCACGCCACCA